TAAGAGTCTCTTATGGTTTGGCTCTCTCCCTCTCTAACTTTTCTTTTTCTAATTTTTGATTTCAATTTATGTTTTAAATTATTTTTGACATAAAAAAGATGCACATAATATATACAACTTCATGAGTTTAGAGGTAAGTATACTGTGAAACAATCACAAGAATCTGTCCAGCTCATCCTTATATATTTATCTGTTGATGGACACTCATGTTGTTTCCATGTCTTGGCTGTCATGAACAATGCTGCAATGAACATTGGAGTGCAGCTGTCTTTGAGATACAGCTTTAATTTCCTTTGTGTATATACTAAGAAGTGGGACTGCAAGATAATATGGTAATTTTATTTTTAATTTTTTGAGGGACTTCTATAATGTCTTTGATAATGGCTGCACCAATTTACATTCCTGCCAACAGTGTGCAGGGTTACCTTTTTTCACATCCTATCCAACACTTGTTATCTTTTGACTTTTGGGTAATAGCCACCTTACTATGTGTGAAGTGACATCTCATTATGGTTTTGATTTACATTTCCCTGATTATGAGTGATGTTGAGAGTCTTTTCATAAAGCTGTTGGCCATTCGTATGTCATCTTTGGAAAAAAAATGTCCATTCAGGTCTTTTCCCCATTTTAAGGGGGGGGCAGATTATTCCTTTGACATATTTTTATGTAAATCATTGATTAACCATTACAGCCATTATATTAGTATTTAATAACCAATGTATTCTGGTTACAAATGTGGAAAAATATAAGCAAAACAATCTGCTAGGCAGCCAGCTCAGTATATCATTGTACTATAGATTTCAATATGGATTATCTTGAATGAAAATGGATACTTCAGAAATTCTCAGTTAACTTTGGCTTTCTTACTGGAGTAAAATTGACCTTATTTTCCCCCAGCTTTATTGAGATATAAGTGACATATAACATTGTGTATGTTTAGGGTATACAGTGTGATGATTTGGTATGTGTATGTCTTACCAAATTGTTACCACAGTAAGATTAGTTAACACATCCTTTATCTCCTATGGTTACCTTTTCCTGTGTGTGGTAAAAATATTTACTCTCTTAGCAACTTTCAAGTGTACAATACAGTATTGTTAACTATAGTCACTATGCTGTATATTATATCCCCAGAACTTACTCATGTTATAACTGGAAGTTTGTACCTTTGACCAGATCACCCATTTTCTCCACCCCCTTGCCCCAGCAATCCCCAATCTATTCTCTGATTCTATGAGTTTGACTTTTTAGATTATATAAATAAGATCATACCTTATTTGTCTTTCTATGTCTGACTTACTTCACTTAGGATAATTACCTCAAGGTCCATCCATGTTGCCACAAATGTCAGAATTTACACACACACACACACACACACGTGTATAATCACATTTTCTTTATTAATCTGTCAGTGGACATCTAGGTTGTTTCCATGTCTTGGATATTGTAAATAATGCTGCAATGAACATGGAGGTACAGATACCTCCTTGAGATAGTGATTTCATTTCCTTTGGATATATTTACAGTAAAAACCTTGGTTTGTGAGCATAATTTGTTCCAGAAACATGCTTGTAATCCAAAGCACTTGTATATCAAAGTGAATTTCCCCCATAAGAAATCACGGAAACTCAGATGATTCATTCCACAGCCCAAAAATATTCATGTAAAAATGATTACAATACAAAATAATAAAATACAAAATATAAAGAAAAATAAACAAA